ACAAAACAAGATTATCAAATAAAACACAAAAAAATTAATAAAAGCTATCAATTTGTGAATTTTATTCAAGAACTACATTGTATGTGAAAATCAGCAATGTGGCTTTAAAACATTAACTAAAGTTTATGAAAATCATTTTTGAGAAATTAAAATATAGTGTAGTTAGGCCACTTAACAAAAAAACCTAATTTAAACATTTTTTAAACGAGGAATTTTATATTTTATTGTTACTAAAAAACAATAAAATAAATAACTCCAAACAAATTGCTATGACATTTCAATCTTTATAATGGTACCAAGATGTCTTGCAGCCTTTTTGTAAACTATTTTCTTGGAGCCAGGGTTTTTGCTCATATTAGTCTGATCATAGTTCATTACATTAGAAGGACAAGGTTCTTGACAAGGTTATGCAGATTGTTGAAAAAAAAGCTGTTCTTAACTTACAGCTGCATGGCTCTTTAAAATGTTCTAAACAATTCTCTGTAAAATTAGGTTGTGATGTCTTTTCAAAAATCTGTAAGCCTAATCTTGCCTAGATATGTTCACTTTTGTTTGGGATGGATACTTTCGATGTAGTGTTTCAATGCAGCCAGATCCCAAAGCTCTTCATCCTGCTGATGAAATGCTTTATAATTGCTCAATTTTGAGTAATGACAAGCTCTCACTCAGCAGGAATAGCAGTTCAACAAGGTTTCCACATATTTTTGGCTTTACTACATAAATAATTTCTAGGAGTTGATCTGGAAACTTTGTAGGTCTCAGGGGCCCTTTTAACTGGAATACCTGCAGCAGTGGCTAACAATAACGTATGAAAAACACTTAACAACAAGAGTATCATTATTTTAACCTTTTTGTAACAGGCAGGTTAACATTGCGCTCTCAAATTATGTTGAGTGGGATATTGCATCTTTAAAACTTAAGCTGATTTTAGCAAAAAACTGATAAATCTGGTAAACTCGCCATATTACCTCACTGTGACCATATGACCCCATCTGACGGTAGTTTCAAACCACTGACATAAAAACTTCTGTATTGCCCTATTTGATTAGTATTTTCTGTGAAAACATCTTGATTGTCTAGTGCTATTGAGATATATTTTATAATTCTTTACATGACTATGATTACAAATAAAGCATGATTATGAATAAAACATTTGATTTAAAAACATCAAAATTAAGTTCCAATGCAAAATGGAAGCCAGAGCTTTTATAATTATATTTTATTTTATTTTTAATTATATTTTATTTTATTAAAATTATATTTAATTCCTTTATAATTTATATTTATTATATTTTCATATAACCACTAATATATAAACATATTTAACAATTTAAAAAAAATAATATTAAAATAATAATGCTAAAATGAAATATTAAAATAAATTAAATTATTTATCAAAATATAATATTTATAATTAACTTTTTGAAAAAAATACCTTATTTTATCAGGGCCAAAATCTACATCATAAATGAAACAACCTCGTTTTTCATTAAAATATTTTTTATGGCGGTTAATTGCTTCAACACGGGTTATAATCTCCCCTTTGTATTCCAATAAAGCTTCATTAGCAACAAAGTCCCTCTTTGTGAAAATCCCATAACCTAATATAAAAAGTAATTCAAAAATAAAGTGGATAAAACAGTCACATGATGTGATATAGATTTTGTTAATTATCAATTAACAAAATCTACACAATAAAAGAAAGAACCTTGTTTATATACATATATATATATATATATATATATATATATATATATATATATATATATATATATATATATATATATATATATATATATATATATATATATATATAAGGGTGGTCATTAAAACAATTTTCTTTTAAAATCTCTGCTCAACTACTCAAAATGCGTTCTATATAATAAAATAATACTAGAATTAAAAAATTTTCAAAAAAAAAAAAATTTTTAGGGATAGCTCAAGACCCTTGAATATAGGGACATCAGACAGGTCCCTATAATCATCAAAAAAAAAAGTTTTTCAAAAGTACATCGAAGTGGGTCTCAAAAGAAACAAAATTATATAAAAACTTCAAAAATAATCATTGTTTTATAAAAAACATTAAGAAAAAAAAATTATAATAAATTTTTTTTGTAAAAATGCATATTTTTAGTTTTTAGTTTGAAAATGCCATTTTCTAGCCAGTGAAATCTAAAATAATAATTTTTTTAATTAGGGCCTCGCTAAAGAATAATTTTTTCTCTCAAAAGAGTTATCATTGTTTTTTATCAACAAAGTAGTCATTTTTACTAGTAAAAAAATATATTGCATAATAAACTGCAATCCTTTTTAAAAAGCAAGGTTATTATTATTGCAAACACAATAAAAAATTAAGAAAGCCGATCATTTAAGAGCAATTATTTAAATGCAAATGTTTTTTATTATATTGGACTAACTGATAAATATAAAATTATTACACTCTAAATTGTATTGATAAAATATAAAATTATTTGTCCGATTTTATATAATCAATTATAAAATATTTTATATATTAATTACTTTAATATATTATTCACTTTTATTGTGGAATTTTCAATTGATTTAATAGCTCTTAAAATGCCTGCATTCTATTACAATAAGAA